ATAGCACAGGAGCGCTGAGGGCTCTCTGGACTCCAGTCAGCCAGGAGGGAGCTTTTTCCAGACAAGCCTTGAATGCCAAGTAGATTCCTATACTCACCAGCTTTCAGTAGTTGTAAAATACTTTCCTGTTATCAAACAAATGGTGTGTTTTTTATTTTAAAAGTTGATTTTTGTGGCCAAAAAGGTGGAAATAATTGACTCTGGGACATCAGTAAGGGGGGAGGTGGATTAGGGGTCAGAAATTACCTATCAGGTACAGTGTTCTCCATCTGGGAAATGAACCACCTGAGACCCAGTCCCCAACCTACACAATATGTCCATGTAATAAACCTGCACTTGTACACTGATTCCAAAATAAAAATAATTTAAAAAATTTTTTTAAAGTTCATTTCTGTTTTTTTCTTGTCTCCCAGTAAATTAAACTCTTTCAAGAAGTAGACTTTTAAGCATATGTACGCTTGGGCCTGTTTACATACACCCAATATATGCGTTTTTCTCTAAGCTCATTTACATTTTACCCACTGGGTTTCTTAATCTTGCCTACCGATTTTCAAACAGAGTAAGAATAGCCAGCATTAGAAACAGCCCAATCTGGTCCTACAGACACAGCGCCAGGAATAAGGAAAACTCTTTTGGGGGGGGGGGCATTGGCGTCTCACTCCGTCGCCCAGGCTGGAGTGCAGTGGCACTCTCGTGGCCACCCCAGGGTTAACCTGCTGGGCTCAGGTGGTCCTTCCGCCTCAGCCTTCCAAGTAGCCAGACTATGGACACGCTCTACCACTCCTGGCTAATTTTTGGTTTATTGTAGAGATGAGGTCTCGCCAAGTTGCCTAGGCTGGTCTCGAACACGTGGGCTCAGTCAATTCTCTCACCTTGGCCTCCCAAAGTGCTGGTATTACAGGCTTAAGCCACCAAGAAAACTTGAATATTTTCATTTATACTTGTTTAAGTTTTTTTTTATGGAAAATGGAATTAAATCTTGGGGTTAGAGCCTCCAAAGTATCCAGCATATAATACATAGAAAGTCTGGGCTCTCATGATGATTTTAGAGAAGAATCCTGCTTAATTGCCAAATAATCATCATTTATAAGTTCTTTTATTTGCAAAATATTTATACAGATAGTCTCTGACATGGTCTTTACACTCTATGAGGTGGTGGAGGAGGTGGTGAAATCTCTTTTTTCAAATGAAGAGACTGAGGCTCAAACAGAGGTCCCTGGCTCGCCCAGGATCCCAAGACACAAGCAGCAGGGATGAGGCTGAACTCTGGTTGTGAATTACATGCTAGAAATGTAAAAAGTATACTTTGGTAATTTGAGTCCGTCCCCTCCGTCATTCGAGTGTCTTGCATATTTTGGCAACATCACTGCGCTGACCTTATAGATACTTCACCTCACATCAATGACCGTCCGCCTTCCCATCTGTTGGAGTCCTGCCTTCCTTTTACTTTTAGCTTTTTGAGTCGGGGTCTCATTCTGTCACCCAATCTGCACTGGAGTGCAGTAGAACGATCACGGCCCGCCTCAGTCTCCAGCTACTGAGCTCAAGCCATTCTTCCTCCTCAGCCTCCCCAGTAGCTGGGTCTACAGGTGCACACCACCAGGCCTGACTTTTTTTTTTTTTTTTTTTTTGGTCGAGACGAGGTTTCGCTGTGTTGCCCGGGCTGGTCTTGAACTCCTGGGCTCAAACAATCCTCCCGCCTCAGCCTCCCAAAGTGCCGAAATGACAGTCTGAGCCACCAAGTCCTACCCTACCTTCATTTTTAAATAGCGAACCCCTCTGACCACTCAAGGGACTGGAAATCTGGGGACAGTATTACCTCGGGGGGCATCTACTCAACATAAGGGCTTGTAACTCAGCATCCCCAGGTTTTGGGGAACACACTGTGAAAAAGTACTCACTTGTAGCTGTTACACCTTGCATTGTTGTTTCAAGAAAAGTTCCAGGCAGAAGCCTCCCCCCCTCCCCACATACCCTCCCATGCACCAGCAACAACCAAAACAGCTTGGGTCTGGAGATGAGCTTTGGCCAACACTCCTCTCATCACCATACGAAAACCACCACCCCGGGAGGAGCCTGTTGGCCAATTTCTACACGTGGGATATAGGTCAAGGCCTGATCAGCAATGGCACCTGCAAGGCCTTGACTTCTCTGTGGACAATGGCTCAGCCAACAATACTCAACGCAAGTCCCGTTTCACCTTCCTTAGGGTAACCACTGCTTTCAGGAATTAGAGCCTAGGGATCAAGTCCCCTGTTAAGTCCACCTTAGTCGTGGTCATTGGATTGGCCCCCCGCCAAGCAACAGAGCCCACCGGTTGTGTAGGTAGCAGGCTCAAACCCCAACACTCGCTGCTCCAGTTAAGTTAGGCAGGTCTAAAAACGCAGCCGTCTCATTGACCTCCTTCAGTGGAAACTCGGGTGAGCAGCTAATAAACCCTCCCTAACACCTGATAATATCCACTGTGAAGGGTTTGGTTTTGCTTTGCCCTTTCTTTTTTTTTAAGTCGGAGTCTCACTCTGTTCCCGAGGCTGGAGTGCAGTGGCACGCTCACGGCCACCATAGTCTCGACCTGTTGGGCTCAGACGACCCTTCCACCTCAGCCTTCCGAGTAGCTGGAACCACAGGCATGCATCACTGTGTCTGGCTAATTTTTTAAACAATTTATTGTAGAGATGAGGTCTCACCAAGTTGCCCAGGCTGGTCTCAAACCCGTGGGCTCAGGCCTCTCACCTTGGCCTCCCAAAGTACTAGGATGATAGGCATGAGCCACCGTACCCAGCCTTATTTTTTGATTTATTGTAGAGATGAGGTGTCACCAAGTTGCCCAGGCTGGTCTTGAACCCGTGTGCTCAGGCAGTCCTCTCACCTTGGCCTCCCAAAGTGCTGGGATTACAGGTGTGAGCCACCGCACTCAGCCTTATTTTTTGATTTATTGTAGAGAAGTGTCACCAAGTTGCCCAGGCTGGTCTCGAACCCATGTGCTCAGGCAGTCTTTTCACCTTGGCCTCCCAAAGTGCTGGGATTACAGGCGTGAGGCACTGTGCCTGGCCCTTCTTTTCCCTTTCAAGGCAACAATAATCATCAAACCTATGCAGCAAAGGCCTAGAGGAGCCAACTGGAAGAGTTCCTTCTGTTCTATCATGGGTTTGCTGTTCGGTGTATTTTACTGATGGTGGGAAATTGATTGATTGGAAACACCAGTCACCACTGGTTGTGAGTATATGATATGATCAAAATTGTAAAGCAGCTTTGTTAAGGACTTAAATTATGCAGCAAAGAGATTAGGGGGGTGTGTGTGTGTGTGTGTGTGTGTGTGTGTGTGCAGTAAGTTCTCGGAAACAGTGACTTTAAGTGAAATGATGGATATATAGCAGGTCCTCAGATAGGGTCGCTTCATTCAATGCCATTTAGTTATAATGATGAGAAAATAAGCTAGTCCTATTATATGTTTTCACTTGTTTCCAAGAATCTATGGATGACATTGAGGACTTATTGTATATATATAGTTTATGTACATTTATACATGTTTTTCTTTTTCTTGTTTACATGTTTATTTTTGGCTCAAGCTACATTTTGCATCTTTATCCCAGGAAGGCTGACAATATAAAACTGTTCCTATATAAGAAAACTTAAAAATACTCAAACTAAGTGGGCGGTGAAATCATTCCTTCGAGAAGTAAAAGAACAGGACAACGTTTATTGACAAGTTTTTTCCTGAATGTTCTTCAATTTCTCTGAAACATAAGAGCGGCTTCCTGTACTTAAATCGCTGTTTCCTGTTTTTAATGTTGTTACACATATTTCATTGCATGAATGAATAGAAGGAGACAGTGTATATACAGGGAACCAACACATTTTCACTCAGGTCTTTGCAAATGGTGAGCTCTCTTATTACCTAGCTTAATCATAGCTTCCTCAACTGATAACTTTATTTAATTTGCAGAGTTCCCAATCTTATGTTTACAGCGATATTTTACCTTTTTGTGTTGGGCTCTCACTTTGTCGCTCAGGCTGGAATGTAGGGGCACGATCACAGCTCACTGCAGCCTCGACCTCCTGGATTCAGGCAATCTTTCCCCCTCAGCTTCTCGAGTAGCTGGGATTACAGGTATGCACCACCACACCTGGCTAATTTTTTTTTATAGAGATGAGATCTTGCTATGTTGCCCAGGCTGAGCTCAAGCGATTCTCTTGCTTCAGCCTCTCAAAGTGCTGGGATTACAGGCATGAGTCACCGCGCCCAGCTTTTTTTTTGTTGTTTTTGAGCCAAAACTTATTTCTATTTCAGGAATCTTAAGGAATCGGGCTTAACCTAGCCAGCTGGACCAAGTATGGTTAATTTCCACCATGATGGCTGTTATAAATATTAGGAGAGCACCCATGACGTCATTCCTTCCTAGTGATGCAGAATTGGCAAGACTCGTGTGATATATATGTGTGCGACTTGTCACACGGCATGGCAACAATGTAACAGTAGGGACAACATAAACAGCTTCTCCTTGCAGCTATCAGCATGAGAAGAACCACAGCCTTCCAAGGCCTGAACAGTCTCCTTGACCCCAGGAAAAGGTTGTGTCCTGGTCCCATCCAAAAGGAACACACACAAAAAAACCCCTCTAAATCAACACTTTGTTAAACGCCACCCGCTACCCCCACCACACACACACACACAAGTTTATAAAAATATTGAAATCATCATCCCACAAAAGAAGCAAGGCCTGAGTTTTGAGGATGGGTATTCAAGTGCACACACGAGAGCTTCCATTTCACCCGTATGTCAATGGCTCTAGAGAAAGATACGTGAGAAAACTACTGACTACTACGTAACACGGTTTTCCCGGCCCCTCACGAGGGGCAGGGAAGGGAATAAATAGTTTGTCGTCAGGGTGGCTTCTCTGTCCCGGAGTCCAATCTTGGAGATCTCCCAATGCCACAAGGCGGGACACGTCCGGGCATCTTTCCAGGTAACTTCCCGAGCGTGAGAGTCGTCTTCAGGGTGTCTCCCTTTCTCCTTCCAAAAGCCCATGTGACACCTTTGGTCTCCCGGCCCCACGTCAGCCATCCTGAAACACAAATCGGAACCCTTGCATGGCTGGATCTCATGTGACTAAATAAGGATGCCCCTAGGAAGCCAGTTTTCAGATGAATTAGAGAGACATGAAATGCTCAGTCCCTTGTAGCCTCGGTGGAGATTCAGAGATCAAGGGTCCTCCCAGCACATAAGCTATTAATTAGACCTCGGGGTTAAGAGCCCTTGACATCTCATCATGAATTTTCTCTTATTCCCCTCTGTTCCCAGTTTGAATTTATGGTAGGCCAGTAGAAATGAGAGGGTAGGACCGATACATCTGCCAAGATGATCTGAAGGGGACACGCAAAAGTTGGTGGTGCAAACATACAGAGACGGAAAATAAATTAGCTGGTTGCATGGGACTCGGGGGAGGTGGTGGTGGGTGGGGGAATGACAGCTCATGGGCATAGGGCTTCTTTGGGGAATGAAGAAAATGTTCTAACATCAGATCGCGGTGATGGTCGCACAACTCCGTGAGCACACAATAAGCCACTGAATTGTACACTTTAAATGGGTCAGTTTCACAGGATGTGAATTCTATCTCAAAGCCGTTTTTAAAAGTTGGTGTTGGCTGGGCTCAGTGGCTCAAGCCTGTCATCCCAGCACTTTGGGAGACCGAGGAAGAGGACTGCCTGAGCCCAGGGGTTCGAGACCAGTCTGGGCAACATGGCAAGACATGGCAAGACCTCGTCTCTACAATAAAATGAAAAAATTAGCCGGGCATGGTGACACACGCCTGTAGTTCCGGCTACTTGGAAGGCTGAGGTGGAAGGATCGCCGGAGCCCAGCAGGGGTGGCCGTGAGTGTACCATAGTACTACAGCCTGAGTGACAGAGAGAAACCCCAACTTAAGAAAAAAAAAAAGTATGTGTTATAAGAAAAGAAAAAAATGGCTCAGCAGAAACTTAGAATAAACATCGCATGACTGGAGATAATGGGTGGCCTCCTGTTAATTGACTCCAAGGAAGAAGGGACCAGAGGGACTTTGGTTGCAGGCTGCTGGGGTTTTTCTCATCATGGGAAACGATGGAGACTGTGTTTAGGTCTCCTGATGGGTGGGCTGTAGGGACCACCCCCTAAGACTCCAGAGCACCGGCCCGGTCCAGTAGGATCTCAGCCTAACCTAATATTCTATTTCCAAGAAGGATTCAACAGGGTGACAGTGGCCTTTCTCCAAGATGCTACTTTCAAAGTCGGGAATATGACACCATTTCCCCAAGTCCATTTTCATACTACAAGATAGGCTCTTGGCTAATATATGTATTTAACTCCGTCTCGAATCCATGTCTATTTCCAGCATGTTCTAAAACATTCCACATGCATCCCGGTTTGCTTTGGACAACTGGAATGCCATGCTTGTGTGCAGGCAGAGTCTCAGATACTCAGAAGGCTGGGATGGGAGGATCGCTTGAGCCCAGGAGTTTGAGGCTGCAGTGGACTATGACTGCACCACTGCACCCCAGTCTGGGCAACAGAGCAAGACCCTGTCTGTAGAAAATAAAAGAAAATTGAACTGGGTTGAGATCTAAAACTTAGTGAAGTGTATCATGTCTGTGTCCTGAAATGATGGGTTTAAGAACGCTTGAGGGCCTGTGTCTCCAATTCTCACCACCCCTCTTTCCCTGATACTGTCTAAAGACTCTTTTTTGGGAGGAATAAGAGTTTCCAGTCATCCTTCACTATCTACAAGCCTTTGACCTCCACTGTCTGCCCTGAATTTGGGCCCTGGTTCTAGCTTGGAAAAACAAGCTGATCTGGACAGCAGACTGGTAGACTGGACACACAGTCGTGGGTTCCCAGGCTTCATTTCAGGACACAGACATGATAAGCTTTACAAGCTTTAGAACGCCATCTCATCCAATTTTCTTTCCTTTTTTAAAGACGGGGTCTTGCTCTATTGTCCTGGTGGAATACGGGGGTGCAATCATATCTCACTGCAGCCTCGAACTCCTGGCCTCAAGTGATCCTCCCATCTCAGCTTTCTGAGTATCTGGGACTATGGGCATGCACCACCACACCCGGCTATCTTTTTTTTTTTGAGTTGGGGGTCTCACTGTTTTACCCAGGCTAAAGTACAGTGGCACAACCACAGATTACCGTGCCTTGACCTTCTGAGCTCAAGTGATCCTTCTGCCTCAGTCTCCCCAGTAGCTGGGACTACAGGTGTGCACCACCACACCTGGCTAATTTTTTTTTTTTTTTTTTTGTAGAGATGAGGTCTTGCTCAACTGTTGCCTAGGCCATTCTCGAACCCCTAGGCTCAAGCGATCCTCTCACCTTGGCCTCCCAAAGTGCTGGAATTACCGGTGTGAGCCACCCCGCCTGGCCTAAATTTTGTATTTTATTTTTTGTAGAGACAGAATCTTGCTATGTTGCCCAGGCTGGTCTGCAACTTCTGGCCCCAAGCGATCCTCCCACCTCAGCCTCCTAAAGTGGTGGGATTACGGATGTGAGCCACCATGCCTAGTCCCAGTTCAGTTTTCCACATGATGAAGTGGATTTCCAAAGACAAGAGACCATATGTCCAGGGTCACACGTAGCTAGCCAAAGGCAAGACTCAAAGTGCTAGGTCTGGACTCCCAGCCATCCTGCTTTCGAATTCCTAGGTAGACCTCCCAGCCCCACCATCAGACTCATCTTCAGCCTCCTCCTGATTTCATCTGTGGCTCAACCCGGCACTGACCTCACCGTTCTGTCTGGCCTCCTCGCCTTCGTCCTGGTCAAGTTCGAACTCGGTGCCTCGGTCCATGACGTCCACACCTGCCTGCACCCTGGGCTTCTCGTTTTCCCACTTGGCAAAGCCTTTGTCTTTGGCTGCTTTGTTGTGGAACTTGGACTTCATTTTGGGGAAGGTGTGGGACCCCGAGTCCCCCCAGCCAGCCTCTGACCAGACGGGCTCAGTCTGGGTGGCCTGGCTGGTGGTGGCCCGCTGCAGACGCACAGAGATCTTGCGAGAAGAGCCGGTGACCAGTGTGATGGCCCTGCTGTCCAGGTCCCGGTGTCCTGCAGCGACCCCGGGAAACTCGAACACCTCGTCCTGCACTGGAAGGGGAGGGGGAGGGGAGCTATTGGACATCTGACTGCTTGAGAGCAAACCATCCAAGTGGGTGCACATGGCCGGAGTTTCACAGGCAAGGTCTGGGAGGACCCAGGGCCAGAACTTAGCTAGGGGCCAGCACATTGCACATCAATGAGCCTAGAAACAGAGGGAAGCCTGGGCCCAGCCATGCTGCTCACCCTATGGAAGGCCTTAGGGCTTTGTTTTGAGTTGGGGGTCTCACTGTGTTGCCCAGGCTGCTGTGCTGTGGCACAATCACAGCTCACCGCAGCCTTAACCTCCTGGGCTCAAGCAATCCTCCTGCCTCAGCCTCCCAAGTAGTGAGTTTTTTTTAAACATTTTTTTTTGTAGAGACGAGGTCTCCCTGTGTTGCCCAGGCTGGCCTCAAACTCCTAGTCTTAAGCAATCCTCCCGCCTCAGCCTCCCAAAATGCTGAGATGACAGGTGTGAGCCACTGCACCCAGCAGCCTTTTTATAACAGCCCTGTCCAGTTTAGATCCAGAACCCAAAAGAGACCTGGGTGAGAAGCACTGAGCAGAGGGACATTGTGGCGGCAAGCACCGCAGGGCATTACCTGGGGGCAGCGAGGGGCTTCCAGGCAGCGACCCATGACCACTGCCCAGGGAGGGCGCCCGGGCAAGTCTCCTGCAGGCCAGGACCAGGAGATCTTTGCACTGTTTGTGACAATTGGCTCCACAGTCTGCAAGATTCCAAATGCGTCACAGGTAATGGGTGTGCCTGGTGCTGACTGAGCTTCCCAGGACAGAGCTGTCCACCTCCCCTCCCCGCCCATTTCTGTGTTGAGTTTCGTAGTCCAGCTCCACCCCCAGGGCATGCCTCGGGGCTGGACAGGGCCCGGGGGTCAATCTTGCCTTCTGAGGGTCCTACCACTTTCTTAAATCCACTCATCTTGTTTCTCCATCCGAGGGCAGGGCCTCGGGGCAAGCAAGCAGAGGCCAGCTTGAGAAGGCAGTTGCCCCAGATGAAATGCAAAACTTACGGGACTGGGATTCTTTCCCAGGCCGAGATGGACTCCCCACAGACAGGGCACCCCGCCAAAATGAGGGTGAGAGGCCTCCGCTTCCAGTTTTTTCCAGGGTCGGGTGCTGCCTCTGGTCATTTACTGGGAGATACTCTTTCAGTCCTTGTATGGATTCTTTTCATTTTTCTCTCCCCCACCCCGTTTTTTTTTTTTTTGGAGAGTGAGGGAATGATCCTCCCGCCTCGGCCTCCCAAAGTGCTGGGATTACAGGTGTGAGCCACAGTGCCCGGCCTGGATTCTTTAACTTTTCTTCATTTCCCAAATCCTTTTCCAGGACAATAAATCCTATCTCCTGCTTCCTTTTTTTGTAGATAAATGGAAAATAAGGTGGACATAACAGCAAACCTATTCTGACCTGGCTATGGTTTGCAACGGTGTGCCACAGAGTCGGTGAAACTGCCCACTGGGAGGCTTTAGGTACAAGGCAGGGGAATATCAGTTACTACTCGGGGAAGACACATTTGGTCCCTTTGGAAACTAGTCACAATTGTGTCATGTGACGAGGGTCCCATACGTCACCTAGAATCACTGAACAGACGTGGGCATGTTTAAGCGTGTATTTCTCGCCCACCATCAAAGACCTTTCTGTTTCCAGGACTCACTTTTTGTTTGTGTGTGTGTTGGAGTCTCACTGTCGCCCAGACTGGAGTGGCACGCTCCCAGCCACCGCACCCTCGACCTGCTGGGCTCCAGCAATCCTTCCGCCTCAGTCTTCCAGGTAGCTGGAACTATAGGCGCGTGCTACCACACCCGGCTAATTTTTTTGATTTATTGTAGAGATGAGGTCTCACCAAGTTGCCCAGGCAGGTCTCGAACCCGCGGGTTCAGGCAATCCACTCACCTCAGCCTCCCAAAGCGTGGGATTACAGGCTGAGCCACCAAGTCCGGCTCCAGGACTCACTTTCTCCCTAGGGGTTTTGTTTCAGACAGGCTTAATGGCATGTCCAGCCTATTTCATTCATTTTTTTCACTGTATGTGCTGTTAAGAAAAAGTCAAGGAGGATCCAAGGGTTTAGTTGGTTTTTATCTTCATAAAACAGCGTGTGCGTGTGTGTGTGTGTTTTAGGGGATAGGAAATTGAAATCCAAGGACAACCAGTAACTCACTGCTGGGCAATAAGATATTGCAGTATCTTTGCCATTTGAAAGTAAAATTCCAAGTTAGACCAAGATAAATGACAGAGAGAAAGTCCTTCTGAGCACTGAACGGAGGTTCTGGGAAGCGTTTTGTTCGTGCAAAATGAGGACCAAATCCTGAAAGACGGTTGGAGAAAAAAACGTATCCTGGCCAGGCATGGTGGCTTATGCCTGCAATCCCAGTCCTTTGGGAGGCCAAGGCAGGAGGATGGCTTGAGACCAGGAGTTCAAGACGAGCCTAGGCAACATAGCAAGACCTCACCTCTACAAAAAAATGAGCCAGGCGTGGTGGCACGCACCTGTAGTTCCAGTTACGCAGGAGGCTGAGACAGAAGGATCACCTGAGCTCAAGAGGTCAAGGTTGTGGTGAGCCATGATCCTGCCACTGCACTCCAGCCTGAGTGACAGAGTGAGAATCCAACTCAAAAGAAAAAAGAAAAGACACCCCAGGGGAGCAGGGTTCACCTGAAGAGGTTCTGTGACTAAGATGCTTCTTTTTGTAATCTTATTATATTTTTCAAAAGCATTATCAAATTCTTAAAAGAACCAGTGTAAGGAACCCAGCAGCTCCTTAAACACCAATCATGTGTAATAATCATATGTGACAAGCAGCAATACATTTCTAAATGCTTAATATGCTTACATATTGCATTTGTCAAATATCTATTTATTCAACTGTTTTCGAATGTTAGTTAAATGGGAGAGATAGAAGAACACATTCATTGAAAGGGTCAAAAGTCAGTTTGGCCGGGCTTGGTGGCTCAGCCTGTAATCCCGCGCCTTTGGGAGGCTGAGGTGAGTGGATTGCCTGAGCTCGTGGGTTCGAGACCCGCCTGGGCAGCGAGACCATATCTCTACAATAAATCAAAAAATCAGCCGGGCGTGGTAGCGCATGCCTGTAATTCCGGCTACTTGGAAGGCTGAGGCAGAAGGATCGCTGGAGTCCAGCAGGTCGAGACCAGTCTGGGTGACAGAGTCAGACTCCAACTCAAAAAAAAAAAGTCAGTTTGAAGTTTTCTCCTTCCTTTTATCATCCTCTGTGTGATTTGGTAGAGGAAGGAATCGCTGTGTGTGAGTGGGAAGAAATGCCCATGAGTTGCAGAAATGAATGTTTATTTCCTTGAAGGAAAAGGCTCTTAGGTACAGCAAGTTCCCAACATATGCATGGGTTCCTTTCCAAGAGTGCCTTTGTAAGTCCTATTTGTTTTAAGTCCAACAAAGTTAGCCTACGTACCCAACGAACACAGTCAGTCATACAGTACTGTGTGTATTTAACAGACTATCCGGACTTCCAGTGGAGAGAAATATACATTAAAAAAACAAAAGTGTGCATTGTTACAGTTCATAACTTGAAGGTTCGTATGTAGGGGACTTACAGTACAGCATTTTAGTGAGTGCCTAAGTAAACTGGGTGCTGATGGTTCACAGGGACGAGAAGTGTGGGCGTTGATAGGGGGGGTTGGCACAAGCTATACAGTCTGAATTCTTGGAGACTGTGTCTCTCTAAAACCCCAGGGCCCCCTTCTCAAACACGCCACCTCTCAGCTGCCACTGGCCCTAAAGACCCCAGTCCTCAGTGACGCCAAGAGCTTCCATGGTTGAACGAGACACATGGGATTCCGACCCAAATGCCAAATTGTTACAAAACAACATGTACTCACCTTTGCATTTGTATCCTTGCTTGATTAAGCCCCAGAGCTGAAAAAAAAAAAAAGGTAGAGGAGTGTCAGAGAAATCTGGAAGGAAAACAAGGCTACTGAGAAGGAAGTCCTGGGACGCTTGACGACTGACTGAGCGGGCACAAACAGGAAGTAGCTGCTTGAACACCCTTCCTGGCAGATGAAGGAGCCCCTCCCAGCCACACCAGCTGGGGACAACTTGAGAGTGGCTTCCCTTTTATTTCTCGGAGCCAAAGGGGGGCCGGGACAGGAAACTAAGTTTGGTGCATTAGCTGCACTTTGAAATGAAGCCCTCTCAGCAAATTGTTCTTTTTCTTGTTTTGTTTTGTTTTGTTTTTTTGAGACAGCATCTCACTCTCACCCAGGCTGCAGTACAGTGGCACAATCATAGCTCACCGCAGCCTCGAACTCCTGGCTCAAGGGATTCTTCCACCTCAGCCTCCCAACATGCTAGAATCACAGGCATGAGCCACCACACCTGACTATTTAGTTATTATTTTGAGACAGGGTCTCTCTCTGTCGCCCAGGCTGCAGTGCAGTGGAGCGATCATAGCTCACTGCAACCTCGAACTCCTGGGCTCAAGGGATCCTCCCACCTCAGTCTCCTGAGTAGCTGAGACTACAGACGTATCCCACCATGCCTGGTTAATTTTTTTTTTTTTTGTAGACAAGGGGTCTTGCTGTGTTGCCCAGGTTGGTCCCGAACACCCGGGCTCAAATCATCCTTCTGCTTCAGTCTCCCAAAATGGTTGGATTCCAGGAGCAAGCCACCACACCCGGCCTCTCAGCAAAATGTGCAGGGGAGGTGATGACTCTGTCTTTGGAAGCTGCCAGCGGCCTCTTTTTAATGACACTAGCGACTTTTGGTGCTCAAAACAGGAGCAAAGTCATCGAAGAAGCACCCCTGACACTAGGACGTTTAGATTGCACTGGGCGCTTTTCTGAGTAGTATTTGTACCTCGAAGGGCTACAGAAGCGGCATGGGCTTATGCCTCCCTGTATTCATTCTCCGCATGTGCTCTGTGTCTGGGCTGTGCCGGGGCTGAGGGAGATGTAGAAAAAGCTCACATGGCTGGGCACAGGGACTCATGCCTCTCATCCCAGCACTTCGGATGAGAACCCAGGAGTTCGAAACCAAGCTGGGTCACATAGCAAGACCTCATGTCCACAAATAATAAGGAAACAAGCCAGGCACGGTGGCGCGTGCCTATAGGACAGCTACTCAGGAGGCTGAGGCAGGAGGATCGCCTGAGCCCAGGAGGTTGAGGCTGTGGTGAGCTGTGATTATGCCATTGTCCTCCAGCCTGGGTGACAGAGTGAGACAAGAAAGAGAGAGAGACAGAGAGAGACAGGGAGGGAGAGAGAGAGGGAGGAAGAAAAGGGAAGGAAGGAAAGAGAGAAAGAAAAAAGGAAGGAAGAGAGAGAAAAAAGGAAGAGAGAGAGAAAGATAAAAGGAAGGAAGAGAGAAAGAAAAAAGGAAGGGAGAAAGATAAAAGGAAGGAAGAAAGAAAAAAGGAAGGAAGAGAGAAAAGGGAGGGAGAGGGAAGAAGTAAGGGAGGGAAGGAGGGTAGGAAGGAAGCAAGCTCACACTCTGCCAACCAGGCCATCAGCAACATCCGGCTAGCAGGAAGTGGCAGGCGTCTCGGGGAGATGTGAGGACCGCAGTTCCACGGGGCAGCCTTTGCCTGGAAGGTTCAGGCGCCTGGGCCTGGCGGTGCTGTCTTCGCCCACCTGGCAGCTCCTCCGAAACCCCATAAAGAAGGGGCCTCGCCTGTCCCTTCTTGTGTCCCCCCCAGTCTGGCCCAGGGGTGACAGTGTGGACATCACGCGGGCTGAGCTCAAGCTGGAGAGGCCCTGTAGCCGAGCCTGTCGTGGCTGGGTTAGGTGGTCGCTGTCTGCTTTATTCAATGATGCTGATCACAGAAGGGCCAGCGGCCCACTGGGGCTGGTGGGGGTGCCGCTCACAGTGCATTATAGGCGGGCAGTGCCCCCCCAGTGTGGACCCCGAAGAAGAGTAAGTGGCTGCCAGTGGGGACAGATTTAAAGGCCTATGAGGCTGTACCTTGCCCCTCCAGATAAGGGGGTCCATCCATGAAGAGCTCAGAGATTCCTTTGAGCCTCAAAAGTTATTTGGTCCTAGAGAATATATTATTATTATTATTGTTATTATTATTATTATTATTTGAGTTGGGATATCACTCTGTTGCCCAGGCCACACTGCAGTGGCATGATAACAGTTCACTACAACCTCAACCTTCTGGGTTCCGGCGATCCTCCCGCCTCAACCTCCCAAATAGCTGGGACTACAGGCGTACACCACCATACCTGGCTAGTTTTTTTGTAGAGACAAGGTCTTGGTATGTTGCCCAGGCTGGTCTCAAATTCTTGGGCTTAAGCAATCCCCTCACCTCAGCCTCCCAAAGTGCTGGGATGATAAGTGTGATCCACTGTGCCTGACCAAATGGACTTAAAAATGAGTGTGGCCAGGCACAGTGGCTCACGCCTGTCATCCCAGCACTTTGGGAGGCCAAGGTGAGAGGACTGTCTGAGCCCGTGGGTTTGAGACCAGCCTGGGCAACTTGGTGAAAGCTCACCACTACAATAAATCCAAAAATTTGCCGGGCGTGGTAATGCACGCCTGTAGTTCCAGCTACTTGGAAGGCTGAAACTGAAGGATCATCTGAGCCCCGCAGGTCATCGCTGGGGTAGCTGTGAGCGTGCCACTGCACTCCGGCCTGGGCGACAGAGTGAGACTCCAACTCAAAAAAAAAA